TTTAGCGGACGCTGAGCTCGCTTCGCTTGGACCGTCCCTGGCCTTGCCCGCTTACCTCCTCGTAAGCAAAGGCGGTTCCCATCTAGTGCCTCAAACTTGTACGCGTTGCCCTCGATTCGCTGAAGGTAAATAACGCTTGCAAGCGTCGTGCAATAAAAACAAACCCTTGGGAGAAAATGAATAGGAACCTGTCATCCTCCCTCCCCGGTTGGGAGGGTGGCTCTATGGGGGTGTTGCTGCTCCCTGCTACGAAGACCGCGTTATGACCTCGCTTGCAGTTTTTCTTTTTTCCTGCTCTAGTTATACTAGTTCGGAGGCGCGCTGGCCTTAACGTCCTGACCTTGTTCTCAAAGCGGCTTGAAAAGATAAAGAGAAATACTTCCTTCCGCATCCACTCTGATGTGGATTTGATTCCTGATCTGACTTCTCCAAGAAGGCAGTTGAGCTATTAAAGCCCGTGTTTTCAGGTTAACTCTGCTAGTAAGAGTGGAATTTCAGGAGCGTTTTAAGCAGTTATATGTTTCTGTAGCCTCTTGTGGTTGTGCGATCAGCTAGATTCATCCATCGAACGGGCTGGCAACTAGCACTGTATAAAAAATAAGCTGATTGAGCTGTCTGTGTACCTGTATTAATGCTAGTACCTAATAAAAGGGAGAGGTAGGTCTACTCGTTTTGGCAGCGTCGTAGATGAAAATCAGTTAAGCTGCTTGTGAAAGTGCACCCTGAGGCTGCGGTTCCCTGGGCAGGTGAACTGGTATAATAGTCTATTTTTCTTTTCTTTTTTTTTTTTTCCCTGAAACTGGAAGATCTTGCTCCCAGCTCCTCTCCTGCTCCTAGCCAGTGCCTCTGGCTAAAAGCTGTGCAATACTCTGCCTCCCTTTGATGTGGCTAATTTTCTACCAATTTAGTACGTTGAATCAGCTTCAGGGGAGTTGAATGAGATGAGCACTAGAAGTGATACCAGTTAAGTGGCAAAATGCTTTAGGACAGAGGCTTGTTAATCCATTTCCTCACAGTCTGTGGAAGTGGAGGAGAGTGTGTCTCTCTGGAAGGATAAACCTGGTCTAGAGTAAACAGATTCACCCTCTCCCCCTTGCTGCCTTTTTACGAAACAAATATTTTTATTTTGTTTTCTGAAAGTTTACTTTTGGGTGATGAGGTGATGATCAAACTGGTAAATATTAACAGTAGGACTTGAAGGGGTAGGAAAGTAGAATTGTGGAAGTCTTAAAAGTTTACCTGTAGTGATTATCACTAATAACTATGTTAGAATCATTAGAGCAGGTGCTCAGTTTCAGAGAACAAAAGCAGTTTGCTAAATGTGAAGGTGGGAGTCCTAGCAAAACAAAAAAAATCACTTTTAAGCACAGCGAGCAGGTGGATAAAGAATGGAAACAGATGTAGTCAACAAGAAATTACTCTCAGATGCTCAGTTTCAGTCTGAGCTGTATTTTAAGAGGAGTTTTTGACATCGGAAGGATGTCTATCCAGAGGGATAATTAAAGATGAGAATATCATTAATGCCTTACGTCAAAGGCATGCAAAGAACATTTTGGGAGTCTAACAACTTGCTTAACTTCACAAAGATTAAGAACAATCTGCATTAAGAAAATCTGTCTTTTGATTATCATACTGTTTTAAAGTCTATATTAATAAAGCAGTTCATACATTTTGTTCAACTATTAAGTGGGGAATAAATGCTTCTTACTGTAAGGCCCCAGAGTTTTATATAAAACAAAATGTCATGGGTTAATTGCAATGTGAAAATGCTTTCTCTTGAAGAGTGTTGATTGCCAGAACTTGGTGTGGCACTTGGTTTTAAATGACTTTTGCACTGTGGCTTCTGCTACTCTCTTGAACCTGTTCTGCCGGGTACATATCACATTGTTTAGATCCCCTTTTATGGAATTGTTTTCTTTTAGGTCCTTTATTAAGATTACTAAAACCTAATCTAACTGCTATCCTTGTAGAATTTATCTATACAGCTTCTCATAAAGCAGATAAATTGTTGTTTGTTATCCTTAGTAAGAAAGGATGGTGTAAGATTTAATAAGTTACTATATCAGATACGCTAGGCAGGTCTCAATAGTACAGTACTTAAGTTAAATATTGACTTGCTGCATAGGACTTTGGTCTAGTGTAGCCCTGCCAAACATCAGTTGCTGCAGCCAAGAGGGAAGTATTGTGGCAAAGATAATGACAACTTTAAAATTACCCCCCTCCAAATTGAAGGCAGTCTAGCTGTGCGCAGAAACCTGTCCAAAACAGTGAGTAATCACAGGGGAGTCTCAGCTGGGTAATGCTCATAACTGATTAAATGTGATGTTTAAACAACTTACTCCTCTAGCTCTTTTCTATTTCTGTAGAAGATAGAAAATTAATTAAATACCATTGCAAGGGAAGTGGGAGGTAAGAATGTTTTTTAAAAAAAAAAGAAGTTTTTTGCAGTGCAGTCTTTAGCTGCATATGCATAAACCATCATTTAACGTACTCATGCCCAGTGGCAGTAGTCTCTTTGTCTGCAGCATGACATGAGCAGGTAATTAAGTTTGTACCTGGAGGAGTGGTAGCAGCCCTTCCCTGTCACTGTGCACATAGTGACATGACCAGCGTTTGGGGTCTCATAGGTGGTGCCAAGACTGGATGAAGTCTGGTAGTCATTTCTAATCTTACTTGCACGTATTTATACTTAAACATACCTTTAGCTGGAAGAAATTCTGTGTGCAAATAGGCCAGTCATCAATAGAGTCTTGCCTCCGGGACCATTCCTCCCAGTGTAGAAGGCTTTTTGGCTTTTACGCACACATTATAATTTGAAAACACATTTTCATTCTTGCAATTACATGCTTTCAAACGTGAACCAAATGTAACTGACTGGTTTCTGCCTGCTCCATGCCTCTTTCCTTGATGTTTTGGGCTTTTTTGCAGAGTCTAAAACCTGACTGATAAAATTCCTTGAAAATAGAAGAATTTTTCTGGAACTGACAGGATTAGGTGCATTCCTCTCTGATACAGTATGTCTCACTCTTGAATGCTTTGCTATGGGGAGCTCAGCGTATGACGCTGAGAGGAGTATGTTAAATAAAACTCGTTTTTTTTTCTAGTTAAGAGGCTTTGTACATGGGAGATGTCCTAAACAGTTCTTATTTACCAGTGGGAAATAGGATTTTCGAGTAGGTTGAGAGGTTGTTAGCACAAATATAGCCACTCCTATATGGTGCTTTTGGTGAAGGAATTTCTGCGTGTTTTAATGGTAAAATATTTTGAGCTATTTGTACATGAGTGAGGGGTAAATAAGTTATTTTATGTCTTGAGTAAGTTGGTTTGCTGTCATGACCTAGTTCTGGGACAATTTTCTCTTGTATGTTATTGAAAGATGGTTGACTGTGTCATATATCAACTTCATTGGCTATAAGCTGAGGCTTTTGTTTGATGGAAGGTACACTTTGTTTTAGATGTAAGATCGGTTTTATAAGTCCCGCCTTTTTACTTATTCATTTTGAAACCGTTTCCCTAAATGTTATAGACATAAATTGTCCCTGGCTCACATTGGGTAGTCTCGAATGTGCTTTTACAGACCTGTCTGTGAGGAGTCCATGAAATAAGTGGTTCAGTGTTTTTGTTTTTTTTTTTTAGTGTTCTTGTCAACTTTTTTTCCATTTTGTGAATATAATGTCCTAGTGTGGTTCATCCACAGGTATGTTAGTGTTAAAATGCTGTTTTTAAACATGCGTGATTATTTAGAGTGTCTGAGATCAAGATTTAGACTGAGCTCCAGATGGTGGTCAGGGGATTACTTTGAGAGCTAATTATGAATGTTCTTTGTGTAAGTCTCATGTCTAATTAAATTGTTACATCACAAAGATATTTTTTTTAATGCTTCATCAGGTAGTTTAGTGAAGAGAGTATCTTTTCAACTTTTTGATGAAGCTTGTTTTCCCTTATCCCATCTAGCTCGTACTGAGTTGTACCCCAGCACTTGCAGGCTGTTTTAATGGGCGTTCATTTCCTGACTCTGAAATGAAATCGGTGACCTCTTTGAAGTCTGAACGTCCCTTCTCTGCATGTGTGGCCTGCATCGCTCCTTGGATCCATCTACGGAGTGGCTATGATGCTGTGGTGTGACCTGTGAACAAAGCCCTGTCTGTGGTCTGTTCAAACTCAGTGGAGTCTAAGTTTGTGTGCGCTATTTTTGGAGTATCCTAGTGAAAAGGTGGTCAGCCTAACCACAAAGCCAAGCAAATAGGAGTGTAGCAGTGTTTGGTGTCTCTGTACTGATCAGCTGTTGTCAGAGAGCACCCTGTATCAGCTGCAGGGAGGTGCTGGGAGTCATCCAGCAGCAAGTTGGTGTGAAAGTGTTCTTCGTGCCGTTTTTGCCTAGTAGGGTTGCCAGGAAACGTCGAGTTTCTGGAGACTTGTGAGCTGTGGCTGCTCCTTTTTTGGCTCAACAGATTTGCTTCATTCGTAAATGAAGGCCGCCTGCCTCTGGTGTCTGCAGCTCTGGATCGCTGTGCCACCAGACCTTGTCAGGCTGCGTTGTCAGCGGCTTGTTTGGTGCCCAGTGCTGTGGCTGCAACGGTTTTGACCTTTGCCAGGCACAGGAGGACTTGGTGCCAAAGGGGATGGAAGTCTTCTCTCAGTTATCCCTCCCTGTTTCTGGACTACTCAGCGATCCCCCTGAAGATCAGTTTCTGCTGGTGTGGTTGTATGCAGCACTGGCTTTGAATCAGCCAAACGTTTGCGTATTGGTGGGGCTGGAGGAAACTTAGTGCTGGGGTCTCGCGCTGGTGCTGTCAAGGACCTCAGCAGAAGGAGATTGATTTCTGAGTTTTCCTTAACGTCATCTCCTTTCTTTCTGGTTTCCTTATGACAACTTGAACACTAAAATCTGAGGTGTTGCTCAGTGGCTTTAGGACCTCCCTTTGGGATTATTTGAATACCCTAGTCACAAGGTTACTGGGAAGACTGCTGTCTTTTTCTGTCTTCCCAAGTGGAAAAAGGGGAGAG